TAACCCTTGCTACTGCAGGCACCATGTCATGAAACCCTTTCTTAAATCAGTGTATTTATTAAAAGCAGCCGTGTCTCCTTTAGCTTCTGTTTTGGCAGGATAAACAAATTCAACTCTTTCGGCCGCCTCTCATAAGTCAGGTCTCCATGGTCATCCCAGTGACCCCACTCTGCACATCTCCTGCTTTGTGGGCATCTCTCTTTCCCAGACAGGTGGCAAGTGTCCTACTCGTCTGGCCATGGCCCACAGTGTCACGGTCTGTCCGATGGACCTGTGGCTGTCCTTGTCTCAGCCCCGGCTCTCCTGCCCTCTTCTGCTTGTACCTGGGTGTGCTGTGGATGCACAGCCATGCAGCATCCCCCCTGTGCATGGGGCATACCTAACGCCCAAGGAGATCCCCACCTGCGGTATATTATGATCCATATGGGAAACCTCAAGAGTCATATGAAACCCTTAGAGCATGCAAGGCTTCGTTTTCTCTGGGACAGGGCAGAGAGGGTAGGGAAGGAGGTGCTGAATTACTACCAGTTGCCTCTAGTGATGGAGAACATTTGACAGAGCATAAGGCCTATGGTATAATTCCTCCTCTTCTTGAATATACTGTTTCCTAATGCCTCCTATGCTCTGGCCAGTGAAGGACTGAGAAGATAAAAGCAAAATTAATTTTGGGAGAAACTAAAAGCAATATGGTCAACTCCTGCAGCACTTTAAGATTCTTATTTAAGCTCAACTTAGCCTTAGAGCCATTTAATCAAACTTATACTTTTCATTTCTAAAATAATTTATCTAGCATTTGTATTTCTAGAGAAAAGAACTGGAGATGATATACACTGCAGTTCTCAAAGCTAGAAATCACAAGGCAAGTAAAAGCAACAACATGGATCAAAATCTAAGAACCTTATTTTTAGCATAAAATAGTGATAGTATTTTTAGACTCAGCTGCTCCTTAAAGCTTAGGGGGTTACCCACACTGAGTAAAACTTAAACCATCAGGGTTTTAGTGGAAATAGGTCAAATAGATTTTCACTTTTTGATCAGTGTTTCGTTCAGTCTTACGAATGACTATCATTGCTGCAGAAGAACTTGTAGTGGAAAAATATCCAAATAATCAAAATCTAATCCAAACTGCTTCCAAAGAAAAAGGGGCCCTGATTCAGGAGAGCACTCGCACTTGCTTCCCACTGCCCCAGCCCTCACTCAGCCCTGCGCCTCTCTGCCTGCAGCCAGCAGGGAGAAGGCAATGGCATTGCATGCCTGGATTTCAGTCAAGGGTGGGCAATAATAAATCCTGCAGCCTCTAAAGCACATTAATAAATATGTTTTGGGTATTACGCTGAAGATTAGGAGAGAAGAAACAAAGGTGGAAACTAAGTCAGGCCTCACGTTCATTTTAATGAATGACAGGAGACAACAGAGGTTGGAGAGGGTGTACCCACTGCAGTGTCCCTGACAACTCTCTCTCCTATTCACTGGCACCAGGAGGTGCCCACAATGTCTCTTGCTAGTGGTAATGGACTTAGCTGAAGAACAAGGGCCTGGGGGTGGTATTGAGGTCATGCAATTAATTTCTATGCTAAAGAACCAGCAAACCTCCTTCAAGAGTCCATAAAACCTATTTTCATACAAGCTGAGACTTACAGAAGCAGCTCACTGAGCAGCAGGATGGCATGTAACAGTCTCTTCCTTGTGGATTATCCAGTGTCTAATACAAACTGAATTCACCTCTTGTAGAAACTTAGTATCTTGAAACTTCTGCCTGTTCCTCCAATTTGGCTGAAGTCAGTCAATGCCTTCCGCAGTGTTGGGTGTGGGGGATAGATAGAGCGAGACAGCATGATCACATACGTCTTGCATTCCTCGGACGACAGCCAAGGGGGAGAGGCAGCTCAGAGAGCTGGTAGGGGTGTATAACCAGATTAGATAACTGACTTCCCGCTGCTGAGAGAGGGAGAGACAGCACTGCTTTCAGCACTCCTGCTCCATTACAAATAAGTGATGTCATGACTTTAAAAAAAATATCACCTACTCTCCTGCTCTGCTTCACCCAAAGATTGCTGAAATGGCTTGCTAAGAAGAATCAAGATGTAATAGAGATAGAGATGAAAGAGGAAGAGAAAAAGCAACAAGGCAAACTCTTCCTTCAGTTTAAACCAACTACAGAGCACCCTGGAAGAATGGCAGAGAAATTAGCACGGTCAGAAAAAATAGGGCAGTTGCTTTTTCCCAATGTGTTTTTTCAAGAGTATTTAACATTTGGATATTTCCTTTCACTGCTTTCTGCCATTCAAACTTTCTTGTTATTTAGTTTTTCAGATCAGAAGTGTTTTTTCCTATAAAATGTAAAAAAAAAATTTCCTAAGGCAAGCTGTGTTTCTGGCTGAGTCAATAATGTGTGGTTACCTGCAGCAGGATCAAATGGAAAACTGAAAAACTAAATGAACTTACTGAACAGACCAAGTGGCTCAAGAGGTGCCCAAGAGTCAAACCTTGATCTGATGCAGAATTTATTCAGAACTGAACAGACAGGTTAGGGCTTGTGCATCATGGCACAGTCTGTGTGCCAGTCATGGGACAGTTATAATAGTGAAGACTGGTGAGCTGGAAACTCAAAAAGAAAGGTGTGGACCAGGCTGGTAAACACAATTATTCCCTGCTTTTTTTTTTCCATAAGGACACTGTGGAAGAACATTTGTTTTTCAGGTTCAGAGGGACCACGTTCAGCCTCATGGGACCTGTTCCATAACTGTTTAGGCTTCTGGATTGTGCTTGAGGAATAGGATGAAGAAGCAAGGAAGGCTCCAGATAATTGGGGTAGGAGCAATGAATGAAAATTAAATATCAAGAAATACTGAGCAAGGATGGATGGGCAAAACAAGAAGGGGACAAAAAGACAGAGTTTGAAGAAAGACGTGCCCCTCTCTTGGCCTCAATGATATGCAGAAGGGCCTGAGGTCAGATTCGAGGACTGCCCATGACAATGCAGCTTCTGTGTTTCTCTTGACAGTGATCCAGCTGGGGAAAGTGATCATCCCTTCTGATTTCAAGATCTGGGGGAGTTCAAGAGCAGTTCCCTGCCTGCTACGTGGAGGCTCTGCTGCCTGATCTGAGGGGCAGGGAGGGGGCGAGGGGAAGCAGCCGGGGCCCTTGTTCATTGTTCCTCAACTCTCCTACCCACTGCACACCTCATTCCCTTGGGCAACGCTGCAGTCACTATGCTGAGTATTTAAAGAAGGCTGCAAGGGGCCTGGCAATGGTCCTCACCAGCAGAGTCATACCAGCCTTATGGTCTTTGCTTGGAGCAATTTGGTGCCTTGTCTCAAACATGGACATTCAGCATATGTGAAGAATTTCAAGAGACAGACTGGGAAAGTCTCCCTGAAAGAGTCCTTGGGGAAATGTGATAAGCTACCTAGTGATGATGACAAGGGTAATTACCAGGGTTAACCCATCAGGGATCAAGAGTCCACTTCTCCCCTTCTCTACTCACCAACCATTTGAAGACAGCTCCTTTATAAGGACCTCAAGTGCAATAACATTTGAGGAGAAGGACTGTAAGGGGAAAGGCAGAGGCTGGAGGTTTAGGAAAGAATTAATAGGTCATCCTGAAGAGTACCAGGTCTAGCTTTGAAGCTGACCCTGCTTTGAGCGGCAGAGCAGGTTGGATCAGAGGTTTGAAAGGCAAATCTGAATTATTATTTGATTCCATGCTTCTATGCGAGAAGTGTGATTTTTAATTTTTTTTTTTCCTATTCTCTTTTAGGACATTTACTGAGGCAGCAGGCAAAATCAAGACTTTGATAAGAAAGTGCAAGTAAGAATTGTTCTTGCTAATACCACCCAGTCCTGGCAAGTGTGATAACAAAAAAAAGAGGAAAATGAAGGGTTCATAGTATCATAGTTGCAAAAAAAATTACTTGCTAACTTTTCTGTTCACAGCCTTTGATCAGAATGTGTGTGCTCATGTATAGTCCTAGAAAACTGGACAGCACCTCTTTGAAAAGAGAAGGAACACCTTGTCAAGGGTAATGGGTCCTGAGAAAGTCTTCAAAACCACCACATTAATAATTCTATACACACACACATGCATGCAGACACACACACACACACTGCGGAATCAACAGCTTTATAAAGACTGAAAATACCAGGTCATTCAAACAATATTCACCAGGTTTCTTAATCCATCCAAGCAGTTTTATAGCCCTAATGAGTATAAAATAAGCATATGACTCCTTCAGGATCACCAGCTCATCTCTACATCTCTCTCTCTTCTTATGCCTGCTTTCAAGTTAGGTGCCTGCAGATAATTATTAATAATAATTTCTACTTTGACAACATAATTCAAAGTCACAGTCAATACTGGGACTTCGTTTTGACAGACACTGCACCAACACAGAGAGGAGAGGACAGACCCCAACATGAAGAGTTTTCAACTGAAATGAATGGCTGGTGCCAAGGCTAACAGAGAAACAGAGAATTTGTCCAATGCCCTGCAGAGCACATCAGAAAACAGGCCATGAACCTCCTTACTATTCCTATGGACTTTCAACAGATAAAAAGATTTTGCCTTATGTAGTTATTTTGTGTACTTAAACCAAAGGTTTTAGGCTTAAATCAGGGTAAGTCAGAAGACTTGTATACATCGCATGTCGAACATAACATCACCAACATGTGCTGTGGCATACTGGCTTTGCACCTTTTCAAGCATATATACAGAGTTGTGAGGTAGTCTTCCAATGGAAGAAATTATAATCCCATCACCAGAAAAGAAAATTTCATTTTAAGGTGAAATAGCAACTGATTCTGCAAAGGTAGGAAGGATGAAGGGATGGCCCAATAAGATATTTTCATTTATAGCTTCCACAATTCTATAAAATGGACGTGTCTTATAACTCCTCGTTAGTTCCTTTCTTCAAGAAAAGAAATATCCACAGATTATCTGTCATTAAGACCTCAGCCCTGTCCACACACATTTCTTAGAGTCAAATTCAGTTGTCACTGACCTGTTCCACTCGGATATCAAATTCTCCATTCACCTTCTTCCCCTGGAAATATTTGGCCCTGCAGAAGAAACGAGACAGACAGACATGGTTAAAGAAGATTTTTGGCTTTCATTACATACTGTTTGCTTCTGCATTTCCCTTGTTGCTGAAGAATTTCTATCCGGGTCACAGTATGTTTTCCTAATTCCTATCTTCTTTCAGCTTCCTGTTCTCCAGGAGAAACCTGCCAAGCCAGATGAAAACCACATTGGAAAGTTCCTTCAAGGCTTGTGACTTTTTCATTTTATTTTCAAACTGAAAACCAAATGCTCTCCTAATCTTTTCCAGAGGAACAACTCTAATCAATGATTCCTTGCTATATCTCATTTAATACTTAATCTTTGTTCTGTAAAAGGAGAGCAACATATGGCACGGCATTGGAAACTTCTTCTGATGTTGAGTAAGGATCTTTATCATCACAGCTGAAGTACTTGTGAAGCCTATTCTATTACTCTCTTGCTACAGAGCTGCTTTTTGATTCTGTTTGTCTTTCTGCTACTGATTTAGAGAAACAGTATCTGCATCTACAGTGTCACTAATGAAGGATCTCTTCTATGGAACTGAGAAACTTCATTTGCTTTGGAGTTGAACAGTACCATGAGAAGGACATATACCTTCCACCACCTCTGCTCCTAATTGCCTATGCTATGCAGACAACAAAGCACTTTCAGAAAGATTGGTTGTTCATGAAAGGGAAAGGCTGACAGTAGTGTTGGAGAAGAAAGCATAGGAAAAGGGTAGGCAGTTTTAGCTCTTTTGTTCATATTTGTGTATAATGCCCCTTATATTGATTAGTCAGTAGGGAAATTGCCAATATAATTTCCCCTGTGAATATTTCTCCCCAATTCTTCCCCTTACCAAACAAGCTTGACAGAAGAAAATATGAATTTATTTTCTCAGACCTCCCCCCCCCTAAAACTTCAGGAAGACCATGTAGGTTCCAAAAACCTCTTCTATTTAGAAAGCATTGAAAACACAGTTAAGCCTTGCAAGAGCTATTTCCAGAGACAAAGTAACTCTCTGCATTCTGTTTCCAATTGGCAAAGAGAGGACAGAATAAAGAAGTAAAGGAAAATGAGGGGAAGCCGGCTTTGCTCCCTATTTTATAGTATTAGCAAAAAAAGAACCTGGCTCACATTTTTACTATGTGTCTATTTGTTCCAATAAAAAAAGGAGAGACAGTAGGAAGGCAATTTTCCCCATGACTGAAACACACCAGTTTCAGCTGAATGCTCCCCTCCCCTAGAAATGTGAAATGTAAATAAAAAAGTTATTTTGTTTTGTCCTTCTGGCTCAAAACCAAGTCAAAAGTTTTCATTTTATTAGAAAAAGACATAAAAAATGTCAAAAGTTTTCTGCTTCATTCTAATGAGGGTATCTGAAGGCTGTATCATGCTTCCCTTCCCAGACAGCCCATCCATCAGCATGGTGCTAATAAGACCTCTGCATAGATGTCAGTGAGGGACAGTGTAGCACCCAGGTGTGACCAAGACCAAGTGGCTCGAACAACCCCTGTCCAGTATAAAAAGCAGAGCTCTGGCCATTTTTCCTCCCTTTTTTGAATTTATGACTGTTGCATGAAAAAAAGCAACTCAACAAACAAGCTGAGACATCACGCCTCTAACAATAAACAGGAACCCTAAATGCACTTAATAATTGCATCATATTTCTGGAGGCATGGCTCTAGAGGGTCTGGCAACATTCCTCACTCCTAAACATTGGGGATATTGCTGGAACCAGTGACTTATCAAAAACTGGAATAAGCTTTAAGTGGGCCCACAGGAACTGGTCTGAAATTCGAGGCGCACTATTCACTGGTAGAAGCTTGGTTTTATTCCCAGCATGCTCATAATGTACACGCCTTATCCACGTTTATAAAACACACTTCCTTCCTCTATGGCCTCTCCTCTTTGCTGACCAGCTGGTTGCAAAATCCTTGGTGCTGCTTTGCTTCAGCTTGTAATGAAGTGTGATTAACCACAGTCTTCAGTCCGGTACAGATGGAGCAGACTCTTCCACTGCCTAGTCCAGGAAATTAGCCTTCACACGGTTAAAAAATCCCCTCTCTCATCTCTACAATACTGGCTCTGCTCATGGATAGTCACACAGAGGGCACATCCAGCGTGAGGAATCGTTTGAGTAGAGCAAGGGACCTCGACTTAGACACCGCGTGGCCTCTCCTTCTTATCCCTCTTTCCACACAGGTTGTCTCATTCTGTGTCTCAGATAACTTTCTTTTAACAGCACAATATATCACTTTCTTTCAAGGACAGCCCCCCAGGAGGGTTAACCTGCTCCGAGTATCTCTGAAGACTACAGGTGCTAAGCAATTTGCAGCCAAATATTTTGGTCAGCCTATCATTTTGACACAACCCAGGGTAAGACTGAAACACTTCTTACTGAAACATCACTGAAATGGATGGAGTGATGTTTTCAATGTGCACCTGGGGTTTTGGAGCCCCTGGGCAGTAGAGGCTATCATGTTGAAATGAAAAATGGCTTTAGCCTCACCCTGGAGATCCTGACATTTCAAGCAAGCCGGAATCATTGCTGATGCTGCAGAAACATCATGAAACTTCAGTTGCAAGAGGAAGAGTCTTTTGGTCAGTATTGTGCAATGTAGGAAATGGCTTCTGGTCCCTGAAGTGGATATAGGATGGAGGAAAGGAAGATCACGCTGATCTGGTGGGGATGCAGGAGAAAGAAAGATAGATATTTCTGACAGGTGAGACTGTGCAAGACGTGTGTGGATGCTCTCTGCCCCATAACCACCTGAGAAAGGCTCTTCCAGATTTCTGCCTAGGAAGTGACATGCTGCAGGTTTATCTAGACAGCCTGTAGTGCTGCAGGGGAGAGGCACCCAGAAGACCAGCCAAAAGCCTTTCTGGGGAGCATCAGAAGTGTCCCCATTCACCTCCAGCACAGCCAACTGCCAGTGATCAGAGGAGCGGCTCATTGCCCCGGGAGAGGGGCTGTTTGGCATCCCCCAGCTCAAGATACCAGGCAAGGCACTGGCCACGCAAACCCACCCCCTCTCCCAGGCAGCCTGCAACACTGACCACTGCTTGGCTGGCCACCCCTTTATTTTAAAGCATGTCAGATGTTCAGCCCGCCAGAACACAGTGTTATAATTTGGCTAGGCAGGGTGCAGATGGGGTGGTGCAGTTGCTGTGATCTCAGTAAATTAGCATGTAAACATGTTTTGACTGAAGAAAACTGCAGGGCCATGCTCAAGAGCAGTTCCTGGGTGGGATTTACAGTGCTAGGCAATGCATTTAAATGTGGCTGCACCAGCTGGGAGGGAGGAAGCACCATGATAAAGAACCAAATATCTATCTTGGCTTCCAAGGAGAAAACTTGCCCTGAACCCCTCTTTCTTCACCATGAAGAAGCTGCATGCCCTGAAAAGGACATATTTTCTGGGTGCAAGGGCATCAGACAAACATAACTTCTGCTTTCTGCCTCAGCCCTGACATGATTACAGGGCCACAAGAAACCTGATACCTCTTCTTATGAAGTAATTCGGAAAGAATAAAAGCTTATTTTCCAGAGCTGCCATGAAACAGCCCCAGTCTGCCTCAGCGACTGTGGCCGGAGGAAGCATATACACAATTTTCTGTCCGATACAGAGTGTATCCTTAATAGCAGCAGGGAAAAATAAATGATCAATTCACCTCCGATTACCTACATAAGAGCTAATTCACAGAAAGTCCATGTATAACATTAGTGCCCTTAGGTGTTTGCAAAGCATCTATCTGAGCAAGGGATGCCAGCACTGATCCAAGACTGCAAACATACCTGTAAGACACTGGAATACCAGAGTTTGTCCCTCTGGTGTCACCAACAGCTGGGACAGCTTGTACTGCATCTATGCGAGGGCTGGCCCCAATTGGCATGCTCCCCTACACCTTCATACTAATGCCCATAGCCTGCCCCACTCCTGTGTCATGGGGAAACACGGCACAAGAGAAACAACTCTTGCACATGGAGTAGGGGCTTCCAGGATCAGCAGCAAAGGGCCAAAAGCTACTTCTGTTAGAAGAGCACAGATAATCTTGCAATTTCTCTCTGTACGATAAATAACCAGTTACATCTGCCTTCTCTTTATGCTTTAAAACAAATGTAGGTGCAATGAGTGCTCAACCCATCAGCCAATACACGTGCTCGGCACAGGAACCCAGGAGAAACGATTTGTGCAGAGCTTGTACTGTCTCTCCTGGAGTTATTTCCTCTCTTCCCTCTGCTTTTTTTCTCTCGGCGCAAAGAAGTATGTCCAAGCTGCTTCAGAGGACTGCTTCAGTGTTTTCCTCTGGATCTGTGGGAAACAGAGACATCAAGATTCCAGCAGGGGACTTCTGCCAGGCTGGAAAATGCTCTGCAGAGGTGAGGAATAGGAAAAGATGCCCAGGTATCAAGCATCAGCTAGAGAAAGTGCCCAAGGAGCTCTTCCCCAGGTACAGTGTCACTAGACAGCAGCCCATATTAAAAAAAGTGCAGAACACCAGCTTCAGCATCGGGAAGGGAGTGGCCAGAAGGGGCAGGAGATCTGAAGTGATCATGACGGACTGGAGGAGTGCAGTGATTCAAAGCTTAAAGCTGTTCCTGCAGGTCCATTAGCTAGGTGAAGCAGAGGTTATGACACATTATGCAGCTTTGAACACAGGCTGGTATTTTGTATTAAATTCATGGGACTTCTTCAGGTATCCTCTAAAACGGCTCCTGCATGAAGGAATTTTATAGGATAGGAGGAGATCAAAGAAATATAGCTCAAATCTTCCTGTGAGAGACCTCAGTGGATCTGATGTAGCAAATGTCATTGCAATTGCTGGTAGCATGTCTTGGAGTAACTGGGAAGCCATCCTTCAGACAAACAAATAAGCTTGAACCCAAATCCCCTGTGATGTGAATGAACCCAGGCACTTTTTGGGGCATCGCTGTTTGACAGAGGCCTTGAGCTACAAACTCAGGAGCAGGCTTGTACCTTCACCCCAGAAATGGGCTCAGTATCTCTGGGAGTGT